TAAGCTTAATTTGATATTTGGAGCCTTTTGGAAGTTTGATTAAAAATCTGATTCAGATTGGTAAAAATTAAAAATAATTAATTAGGCCTTAATTGAAGTCAATTAGACTAATTAAATTATGAGGAGATTTGTGATTTGTTATGATTAGTTAAATTATGTACTAATCAAGATTAATTTAAAATTAAGTAGTAATTAATTAAGCTAATGGATAATTAGTGATTAATCTAATCCTATTCATAAAATAAAATGGAGTAGAATTGAGAAGGTCCTAGAAAGATTGGGAAGAGAAGTAGTGGCTTCATTTATTTATTATTGAAGACTTAGAAGTCTAGGTGTGCATTGTGTATTCATTTGTGCTGGAGAGAGAAAGAGAGAAAGAGAGAGAGAGAGGGGGGGGGGAGCGAGAGAGAGTTCATGTTTGCTGGAAGACCAAGGAGAAAAACAAAGAAGAGTGAAGTATTGAAAAGGTGTTCAATAATTGATCAAGAAATTCAGCCATTGAAGACTTAAGGTAAGGAATTAAAGCTTAAATTTCGTATATAATTTAGTTAAAAGATGAAATTAAGAAGTTGTTGGGTTCGATTCCACATAATTAGAAAGAAATTAAGAAAATGATGAAGAAAAATTGAGTTAAGGTTAATAAACATGGAGATAATTGGAAGAATTCTTTAAATTGAACTTGGGTTTGGAAATCTTGATATATATGTATATATATATATATATAAATGAGATGTATATTTGCATGCACCTTGAGTTTTAAAACGATTTGAGCCATTCAAGTTCATAGTTTGAAGAGGAAAATGAAAAGTTTCAAAAGTCTATGGAAATTTAGAGTTAATCCTAAAGTTAGATAAGGTTTTAATTTTATTATGAAAATTAGGAATTGGTTTGATTATGATTTTTAATCTATGCATGTAATTTAATTTAAAAGTTTTATTCAATTTAAACATATTTTGGAACATCTATGATCATAAATTAAGTTTTGGGTATGATTTTATAATTCATCATTTAAGTTTGATTTTTGTTATTTATCATGAAATTGGATTCCATCTTTACATGCATCATAGGTTTTCAAGAGTTTTGAAGATTTAATTCATGTTGTAGAATTTACGAGTCTGAAATTGGGTTTAATATGAAGAAAATGAATTAAATCTAAATTTGGACAAATTGAATTGATTTGATTTCGATTTGAATTTCATGCATGCAAATATTTTTCTAAGGACTATATGACTTTAATTTCATGTTTTATAAGAAATAGGAAGAAAATTTTGGAATCATTATATTCATGAATTTTAGTTTAATTTTGAAAAATTAAAAGAGGGTTTTGTATTATAATTTAAAAATTAGTCATAGGTTCATATTTATTAATGAAATTACATATTTAAATTGAGTCAAGCATGAGCCTAAGTTTTGAAACAAAGTTTGGAAGCTCAAATCTTCAATTTCAAACCCATAAAATTTACAAGCCAATTGAGCGACCAATTGGTAGCTCGAGCGAACATTACGAGCTCCCACTAATGTTCATCATTTAAGTTTGATTTTTGTTATTTATCATGAAATTGGATTCCATCTTTACATGCATCATAGGTTTTCAAGAGTTTTGAAGATTTAATTCATGTTGTAGAATTTACGAGTCTGAAATTGGGTTTAATAAGAAGAAAATGAATTAAATAAAAATTTGGACAAATTGAATTGATTTGATTTTGATTTGAATTTCATGCATACAAATATTTTTTTGAGGGCCCTATGACTTTAATTTCATGTTTTATAAGAAAAAGGAAGAAAATTTTGGAATCATTATATTCATGAATTTTAGTTTAATTTTGACAAATTAAAAAAGGGTTTTGTATTATAATTTAAAAATTAGTCATAGGTTCATATTTATTAATGAAATTACATATTTAAATTGAGTCAAGCATGAGCCTAAGTTTTGAAAAAAAAATTTGGAAGCTCAAATCTTCAATTTCAAACCCATAAAATTTACAGATCGCTCGAGCGACTAATTGGTGGCTCGAGCGAACATTATGAGCTCCCAGTAATGTTCGTCATTTAAGTTTGATTTTTGTTATTTATCATGAAATTGGATTCCATCTTTACATGCATCATAGGTTTTCAAGAGTTTTGAAGATTTAATTCATGTTGTAGAATTTACGAGTGTGAAATTGGGTTTAATATGAAGAAAATGAATTAAATAAAAATTTGGACAAATTGAATTGATTTGATTTTGATTTGAATTTCATGCGTACAAATATTTTTCTGAGGTCCCTATGACTTTAATTTCATGTTTTATAAGGAAAAGGAAGAAAATTTTGGAATCATTATATTCATGAATTTTAGTTTAATTTTGACAAATTAAAAAAGGGTTTTGTATTATAATTTAAAAATTAGTCATAGGTTCATATTTATTAATGAAATTACATATTTAAATTGAGTCAAGCATGAGCCTAAGTTTTGAAAAAAAAATTGGAAGCTCAAATCTTCAATTTCAAACCCATAAAATTTACAGATCGCTCGAGGGACTAATTGGTGGCTCGAGCGAACATTATGAGCTCCCAGTAATGTTTGTCATTTAAGTTTGATTTTTGTTATTTATCATGAAATTGGATTCCATCTTTACATGCATCATAGGTTTTCAAGAGTTTTGAAGATTTAATTCATGTTGTAGAATTTACGAGTGTGAAATTGGGTTTAATATAAAGAAAATGAATTAAATCTAAATTTGGACAAATTGAATTGATTTGATTTGATTTTAATTTGAATTTCATGCATGCAAATATTTTTTTGAGGGCTCTATGACTTTAATTTTATGTTTTATAAGAAAAAGGAAGAAAATTTTGGAATCATTATATTCATGAATTTTAGTTTAATTTTGACAAATTAAAAAAAGGGTTTGGTATTATAATTCAAAAATTAGTCATAGGTTCATATTTATTAATGAAATTACATATTTAAATTGAGTCAAGCATGAGCCTAAGTTTTGAAAAAAAAATTGGAAGCTCAAATCTTCAATTTCAAACCCATAAAATTTACAGATCGCTCGAGGGACTAATTGGTGGCTCGAGCGAACATTATGAGCTCCCAGTAATGTTTGTCATTTAAGTTTGATTTTTGTTATTTATCATGAAATTGGATTCCATCTTTACATGCATCATAGGTTTTCAAGAGTTTTGAAGAATTAATTCATGTTGTAGAATTTACGAGTGTGAAATTGGGTTTAATATAAAGAAAATGAATTAAATCTAAATTTGGACAAATTGAATTGATTTGATTTGATTTTAATTTGAATTTCATGCATGCAAATATTTTTTTGAGGGCTCTATGACTTTAATTTTATGTTTTATAAGAAAAAGGAAGAAAATTTTGGAATCATTATATTCATGAATTTTAGTTTAATTTTGACAAATTAAAAAAAGGGTTTGGTATTATAATTCAAAAATTAGTCATAGGTTCATATTTATTAATGAAATTACATATTTAAATTGAGTCAAGCATGAGCCTAAGTTTTGAAACAAAGTTTGGAAGCTCAAATCTTCAATTTCAAACCCATAAAATTTACAGACCGCTCGAGCGACCAATTGGTGGCTCGAGCGAACATTACGAGCTTCTAGTATTTTTGCAGACTGTGTCGTCTGCTCGAGCGACCAAGTAGTGGCTCGAGCGGTCAGGCCTATTTCAGCATATTTTGGAAAATTATATCTTTTTCATATTTTCATCCTCTTTGTTACCCAAAAAACAACCTAAGAGGGGGGTGAATTAGGTTTTCACAAAGAAAAATAATAATACCCTAATAAAAATTATGACTAGTACAATAGATAAATATAGTTAATGAAATAGAAATAATTAAAACAAGTGTTTTAACAACTATGTTAGTTAATGATTTTAGCATAGTGAAAATGTGAATATAGCTACGGCAATTTAAATAAAATAAAGAGATAAGGGAGAGTGAGGCAAACCAATTTATAGTGGTTTGCCTTCAACTCAGTCTACGTTCACTCCTCAAGTTTCACTTGAGATTTTCTACTATACTCTAGCTTCACAAGGTGCTAACAACCTTTTCACAGATGGAGCAATCCTCCAAAGATTTTACACAAACTTTCTAAGTTAAGAACACTGAATGTACTACACTCTTACAAGGTTGAAAAGAATGTGTTTTTGCTTTTACAGAAAGTTACAAGAATTATCTCTCAAAGATAGATATAAAAATGAAGTTCTGGTTTTTCTATAAATCTCACACAGGAAAGATGGGCTTAAAGCTATACGTCTCAGCGTATAATTTATGAAAGAGGATGTAAACAAAAACTGAAGAACACATCTCAGAGAATTTTTTCAGAGAATAGATGTGAGTGATTATAGATCAAAGAATATTTTCTGATTTTTTGTAACTTGTTTACATTAGAGGCTTTGGTATATATAATGAAACTTATAGCCGTTTATCGCTGTTGTATTTATTTGAATTTATAACCGTTTATAGCCATTGTGTTCGTTTGAATTTATAACTGTTTATAGCCATTGTATTCATTTGAATATCTCCCACTCAATCATTACTAATTTGAATATCTTCCACTTGAACCTTTTGGCCTGCTGATGTGCTAGGTTGTTTGAACCTTTTGGTCTGCTGCTATGCTGGGCTGTTTGAACTTTTTGGCCTGCTGTTGTGCTAGGCTGTTTGAACCTTTGTTTTGGGCTGTTTGAACCTCTGATTTGGGCATTATTTTTGGGTTGAAATGAACTCCTAATTTAAGAAAATATTAAATACATTCAAACAATATTTAGTATAAAAGTTTAGGTGAGAAATAATGGGACAAAATAAATTTTGATTATATTTTTCTCTTTCAAATAAATTAAAACATAATTAAATAAATCATCAAAATAAATTTTAAATTCTATTTTTCTTTTTTAAATAAATTAAAATATAATTAAATAAATTATCAAAATAAATTTTGGATTTAAAATATAATTAAATAAATCATCAAAATAAATTTGGGTGATGCACCAATAAATCCCAAATTAAAAACTTATACACTGTTTAGTCCCAAATGTTTTCTTGTAAACTGAATAGTCCCATTGTAAGGGAATTGACCATTGAGGGCATATATATTGTGCTCGTGAGTGGTAAGACTAATGGGCAAGGTTGGTAATTTAGTAATGTGAAATTACGGAAAAAGGGCAGCAGTTTCTAATGTTGTTGCATTAGTAGTTCTTTATTCGGCGGTGTTGAGGTTTGGTTTGCAGGAAAGATTTGGGGTTTTGAGAAAGAAATCTACATCCGAAATCGGAAAGGCGAATCTGTTTGGGGCGAGGTAACACTACATTACGGAGACCCTAATATTAATTAAATTGTCAACGTTGTGGTGGTGACGTTCAGCGGGAAGACATTGGGGTTGAAGCGAAAAGGCGTCCTACCCTTCGATATCAGATTGCGTTTGCGATAAGGTTTACTGCAGATTGGAAGGCGGTGTTACATGAGGACACGTCTGAGAATGACAGCAAGGAGTGGAGGTATGTTTCTTTTGACCGTTTTGTTTTGATTTGTGATGTTGTTTCGTTTGATACGGACAACAATATTGTGGGGTTGTAATGTTGCTGTTGTTGTTTTGTTTTTTGAGAGGAATTATGGTTTTGAAGGAATGGGGAATGTTGTTATTGAGTCTGAGTGTGCATGTGGGTAGTGTTTATGTTGGTTGTTTATGTTTGAAATTGGTTGTGGGTGTGTGTTTGTTGGGATGTTATATTTGGTTGTATGACGATGTTGGGTATGATGTTTGGGACAATGTTGTATTGGGTTAACGATGTTAATGTATCTTTTTTCATGATGTATTTGATTATGTCAATGTCACATTGTAGAATATACGTGTTTTGTTGTGTAACTCGAGGCGGTTGGGTAAGATGTTGGGGTTGATGTTATATTGGCTTGACAGTGTTAATGTGTCTTGATTATGGCAATGTGAACGATGTTGGGTATGATGTTGGGTATTAACATCTCTATTTTTGCGATTTTGCTGATTATGGCAAGGTCGCATTATGCAATGTAAATGTGTTGTTGTGCAACTCTGGGGTGTTTGGTACAATGTTGGGTATGATGTTGGCGATGATGTTATTTTGGGTGGATAGTCTTAATGTGTCAGTGGTCTTGTTGTTGTTGATTATGGCAATTTGACAGTGTAGAATGTGCGTGTTTTGTTTTTCAACTTTGGGTTGTTTCCGTTCTCAGTGCTGTTTGTTATTTGTGCAGGGGTGATTTTGAGGTAGTCGCTGCGGGAAAAAAGTGTTGGTGTGGCACGTGACGTTGGCGATTCTGATTTCGCATCAAAACCGATTGTTGTGAAAAGACAGGGGAAGATACCATTCAAGGGAAAAAAATAGAATGTCCATGTAATGAAGAAAATGGTAGTTGACACCGCGCGTCTGGCGTATCGTTCTAATATAAACGAGATTATCAAAACCATGTTAGAAATGAATTTGAGAGAAGCCCATGAACGACAACTGTGAAGAACACCATTTTGGGCAATGATTAATTCCATCCGCAAACACAACTTGTCGCCGAATGCATATAAGAAATGCGATAAGACAATGTTCCGAATACTACAGACATACAATCCTGAGGATGAAAAATTCTACATTGGGGGGAAAGGAGTTCCATTGCGTCGAAGCGATATCCGGCTTGTTTTTGGCATTCAGTGCGGCGTGGACCAACTTGATTTAGCTCATAGGTCGAGGCCACCGTCTGATTTTATTCAGCGTCGCTGCGACATTGTAGGGAGGATATTGTGCAAAAAAATTAAAGAACTATTAGATTATGCATTACAGGGAAATAGTCGTAATGACGAGGAAGACGTCGCGAAGCTGCTGTCGTTATATATATGTGCGAAGCTATTTTTTACAACGACCGGAGAGTCTATCGGATGGGCGTTTGTCCGAGTTATAGACAAACTAAGTACGATACAATTGTATGATTGGGCTGCTGCAATACGTGCCGCGTTAATTGCGTCACTGAACGAGTTTCATAATCGGCCGAAAAGGGTAACCGGATGTGTTGTTGTTTTACTCGTAAATTAATGTGTCATTTTTGTGATGTACTATTTTTTTAGCGACTGTCATGTTTGTATTAGTTTGTTAGTATGTGATCTCCATAAATGTGTTTGCAAATGTAATGCAGTTTTTTATTTGTGAGTACACCAACATCATCGAGCCGGAACGACACAGTGTGCTGCCACGATTCTGCAGATGGAACATTACAAGTTTGACAACCAAAACGGAAGGGGTTGACTTGATGCGCAGAAGACAATTTGAGGTATGACATGGGAGGATGATTTGTATGGTTTTATTGGATGGTACGTGTTGGACTGGTTTACAATTTTGTAACGTGTTTGGCAGGTAAGGTACGGTAAACTGGAGGTGACAATTCTTGAACGGTACAAAGTAGGTACGACATTGGTCAGTGGTGAATGTATGAGGACAGAAGGGAAAGTGCTTGACGTACAGCCATTGTCGATGAATATTGGTGTGCCACGTAAAGATGTTCGTGATGATGTTGTAAAGGCAAGTTTTAACTATTGGCAAGTGAACTCATCTGCAGGGGTCCATGTTCAGAAAGGCGGAATGACTGACAAGGCAGACACAGACGATGGAGGCAGTAAGTTTGTTACAAAGCGTGGATTAGGCGCGGTTGTAAGAGATGAATGGTGGCCAGTATTGTTCCCAAATCTGCTGGATTTGTCAACCATGCAACCAGCTAAGGATGCAAATCCGGAAGCAGTCAGTGGTAGCAATAAAATAAGTGAAGCGCGTGACAGAGTAGCAGAGTTGGAGGAAGAATTGAGGTAGAAAGTTGAACGTGTGCGTGAACTTGAATGTAAGGTTACGAGCATGGAGCGCGCACTTGGTTCACAAGTTACAAATTTATGTATGGGGTTCGATACTGTCATAAGTTTGAAGGATGCTGAAATTGCACGTTTGAATGCCCTCCTGTCGGAGATGAAAACAACAATAACACGGTTGGAGGACCAGGTTGACGAGTACAAGGCGCATGAGGTAACGCAACTGGCTAGGAACACAACTAAAATTCAGGGCACATCATCAGACCGACGGGGTGGGTGTGAGTTCACTGCGCAGTGTTATAATGAAAACAGGACGGATAGTCCGGTGAGTAACGCCTCCAATGTCGTGGGTAACAGTTGTGAATTGGACGAAGCATGTAATGTCGATGTCGATGTAGGTAATACCATTGTTGGTGGGGACGATGTGATGGTGGGGGAAATGATGGTGTTGTAAATCAGGGGTCAACGTTACGTGCTGGGGTATGGAGTCCAACGAAGGAAAAAGTTAAATGCAATTCTGATGGCACAAGTAACGCAGCCGAAGCAGCAAACAATTCGAACATTAACCATGTTCTTGACAGGCCAGGAAGCGGTGTGGTGGACAGGGTAATAAACTTTGTGAATATTGAGGAACCAAACATCACATCGTTGGTGCGGGGTGTGAAAAGCAAAGCTAGGCAGGAGTAGAGGTTACAAGATTACGAGTATCTTGGGTTGGTGAAGCATTGCAAGCAATCAAAGAATGAGGGCAATATAGGCAACAACACAATTGAGGATGTAATTAACATTAAAGACGACGAAGGAGGGCGTAAAACATGGGCTGGATTTGGAATGAAAAATTGGTATCTAGTTTGGAAATTGTTGGCTGAAGATGAACAGAAATTGTTGCAGGTGGTGTGCACATTTGAAGGGGATGGGTAACGTATTCGTTCGGTATTTTAGTTGTTGTGGTTTTTTTGTTAAATTGTTTATTGCATTTGAATTGTACTTACATAATTGTGATTTGGTGTAGAGCTATGATATGGAGTGTAGCTGATTATGGTGTGCACGTTAATTTCAAAGACATCCAGTCGCTTGTGCATGGGGGGCGACTGCCGGGAATGTAAGTATGATATGATTTTGTCAATATGAGAATGTCACCACTTAGACCATTGACATGGGTTACGTTAAAAAATATAAGGTTCTGCGCATTGTTCTGTACGTCTAATGTAATTGGAGCTTGTGAATAATTTGTGTTGCTAGGTTATTGACCATATGTTGAAATTTTAAAAAGTTCGCAGAACGTATTAGTTGTTAATTGTGCTAATTTCAGCAAATCTTACTTCCACAACAGTTTGTGTTCTGTATGTGTGTGTTATTATGTTTAGTGTTACATTGTTTGTTAGTTTCATGTAATTGTTTTAGGATAATGGGGCAGTGGAGTTGTGGGTTTTGATTGTTTTGTAATTTTCGTAGGATATGATGAGGAACCCAAGCATGACGTCTAAGGACCGTTACCTGAACGTGCACGTGAATGCTGCATCTGGGTGCAGATACGTCCATTACCCTATATACCATGCGAATCATTGGACGACCATGGTGTACGATTCAGACTCGGGGACATGGACACACTACAATTCAATCAAAACGCGTAGAGGCAGCCGAGATGATCATTTTACTGAAAGTGGTAAGTACAAATCACTGGTAATTACATGTATGTGTCGGGTGTGCGTGCGTTCCGTATAAGGTGATAAGGTGTGTTCAGTGTGACTGATTGGGTGATGTTACTTGACACAGAAATAGTGGGTCGTCGATTACACAAAACGGGTACGAGAAAAAGTGCAATCGGTTGTCGATGTGACATTAGAGAATATCGACCGACCGTTGGAGGCTTTGGGTGATTGTCCTCAACAACACCCGGAATCGTATGTTGATATTTGAACTCCGGTTAAAATTTGTTTTGTTGTCTGTTAAGTTGTGTATTTGGTTTAGTAATGTTGATTAACGTGTTCACGTGTTGGCAATTGGCAGACCGGACTGTGCGATTATGGTATGCTTTATCATGCAGCAGTACGCAAACAACGTGGAGGTTGAAGGTTCAATGGATGTGATGACAGCCAGTGCGTTTAGAGCAGAAATGGTTAAGGCATTCATCAATGATCCACAGAGAGGGCTCCGAAATCGGCCTCTGCCCTGACTGATTTGGTGGAAATGCATAAATTAGTTGAAGTTTTTGTTTTTGTTTTTTTGTTGACCATGGAACTGTTTTGATTATGTGGTACTGATTTTTGAATGGTCCAGTAGCTATGTGACTGTTATTGGAGAAAAACAAAAAATACCGTACAACAACATTGGAAAAACAGTGGCCAAACCTTAATGGTTTTTTTTGGGTAGGGTTGATAATGATTATTAATTTTGGTATGTGTTTCATTACATTGTGCCTTGTAAATGATGTTATTTCTGGGTTTGACATATTTGTAATGTGTTTGTGTTGGATATGGTGGACAATAAGTAGTGTGGTTCGCTTTGGGTTAATGTGTACGTAGGATGTCGCAGTGGCGGTGTAATTTAATGTGTAGTAGTTAACGCAGTCGTAGTGTGGTTAGGGTTGATTGTGTAGTTGATTGTATTTTAGTGTTTGAATTGGACGACATGGGCAGGGTCGTAATTGGGAGTATCGTCGTTTGTATTGAGTTACGTAAGTGTGTATGTGCAGAACGTAATGTGTGGTGATTTAAAACGTAAGTGGTTTTTGTGTTAATGTGGTTTGTAGTGTGGTCATCGTGTTGAGGGAGGGGATGGTGTTGAACTCATAAATGAAAAATATAGGATGCTACATTGAAGTTGACAAGTTTGTGATTGAAAATGTGTGGAATTTTTTGCTGGCAAACATTAGTTGGGGAACATTTCAGTTGTTAACGTGATGCATAATATACTTTTCATGTAATCCGTGAAGCACCACGAACAAGCAATAAAATGTTTATAACATGTTAATGTATTAGAATTGGGTGTAATAGTAAATGCACAACACACATCGTAACTAGTGGTGAGGAAAGAAAATGTTGTTGGGTAATGTGGTTTTGCAAAATTTAATTGAAATGGTAAATGTAGTGTCAGGTGGTAGGGCACAAACCAACATGCGCGCTCCATATTCAGTTATCACATCATGAAACCGTTGTGATGTCCGAATTTAAATTAACAGGAAACAATGTTGTAAAAAAAGAGAAAATGTACGAAGTTCAATGAATTGGGAAAACACCCACAAACTGACAGAGAAAATAAACTTGTAGTAACATTACTAAATTGGCTCCTTGCATGTCTTTCTATTATGGTTGCCAATTTTTCCACACCGACCACATCGGATCCGTTGCACAACCTCACCCTTTGACGGAATTCGTTTACGGCCTGCCAGGCAGACGCTTAACCTTTGGGGGCGCTATCATAAAATCCTTGGGCGTAAATGCCGGTTTCTCAATAGTTAGAATCGGATATATTGTTCCGCTATACGAAGCTTTGAATTCGTCAATACGATAGTACGTTTCAATAGAATTATATATATTCCGTCCACTATCACGAAAAGCGACAACAGCATGAGAACACGGAAACCCATTCAGCTGCCACTGGAAACATGAACGCGATCGCCTTGCCACATCAACCAAAACAGAGGGCTAGCTGTGCACCTCGCAAACATTGTCATCAGCCTGACTAACACTCCAACCCTTACTGTCATTATACGCCGTGACCAATTTCTTCTCCATTTTCGGGCATAATACGCCGGTCCACGCCCTTGCCTTGACTCTGCGCTCAGCCATTTGTTCCATTATTTGACCCCTAATCATGTCGACCAACCTAGTAATTGGAAGATGACGCGCCTCCCGTATCCAGTTGTTAAAAGATTTAGCTGCGCTCGACCACATCTCACCATAACGTTGCCTCTGAAAAGGGATAGTAAAATTGAACACGAATGTATTTTTTAGAAAAACGACCTACTAAGCATGTTAGCGTATATAATAAATTAAAAAAAAAATGAATCCATTAAAGTATTATACAGAAGGGGTACAATCAAACTTACATGAAATACGTATTAGCCCAATGGGATGGATGCAAGTCTTTCAAGAAGTTTTCAATCACAGCCGGGCTACACTCTTTTAACAACTTTATTTTTTGATTAAAATATGGCATAGTAGGCGCATAAGCACATTCTCGGAGCTTCCGTATCAACCCAACTTTACGAGATACGTTAACGTGTTTCATTCGGTCTCTCAAATTCATTTGAAGATGTAGCAAACAAAATGCGTGATGTGCTGAAAGGAAAATAATTGGCATAGATTGCAAAAGACCAGCGTGACGATCAGATACGAACGTCAACGTACGCCCGTCACCCACGACTTCTTTAAGATTCCGTAAAAACCACTCCCAATTTTGTTGATTTTTAGAGTCAACAATTGCGAAGGCCACCGGAAACAAGCCTGCAAAAAATAGAAGACAAAGCCATATCTGGAGCACACATCATAGAGTACACATCTGAAATCTTTGGTGCAATACATATATATGTAAAAGTTTCATAAAATATAATCAGAACTGAAATGTGACAATTTTTTTTAAGCAGAAAATAAGGGAAAAAATTTGATACGTCACCTTTATTGCCATCTTTCGCGGTAGCAGCTAACAAATTCCCCTTGAATCTGCCTTTCAAAAACGTGCCGTCCAAGAAAAGTAACAGCCGACAATGGTTGAACCCATCTATACATGCATGGAAGGATATAAAATACAAAACGAACCTCCCAGTTTGTTGGTGAAATTCAAGGTTAATGTAACTGTTTGGGTTCTTTTCCATAACGGAATCACTATACCACCTAAGTTGGTCAAATGACACAGCGTGATCTCCATAGACTTCACCTCTCGCTTTCTTGACCCCTAACTACGCAACCCAGTAACTAATATCCAAACCGTATTCAGTTTTCATATCGAAAACAACGTCCGTAGGACGCGTCAGTGGCTGAGCACGCACCCGATTTGTGACAACGCTTGAAACCAAATCAAACCCCATACGTGGGTTTGTATGTGTTTGAACAGCAGCTCCACAACTGTGCACACTATCCAACTTCTTAACACATAAAATCCCATTCAATGACAACACCCTCGCATGCACCGACCACGCGCATCCTGTGGACTCTGCAAACTTACAAACTGCCATAATGCGAACTGAATCATTCTTCAAATACTTGAATTGAAACCCGCGTTCCACTGCATATGTAACAACCCATATTCATGTCATAGTTATGTTCATGTTCATTTACATAACTTTGTCTTGTTAAGTTTGCATTCATGAATCTTGTCTTGTTTTGCTTAAGTGTTGCTTGCATGCTTTGTTCCTTCCCTGCTATGTAAAGCCTAGGTCGTGTTAAGCCTAGGTCATGCCAAGCCTAGGTCGTGTTAAGCCTAGGTCGTGTTAAGCCTAGGTCATGTTAAGCCTAGATCATTCCAAGCCGAGGTCATTTTTAGTCTAGAATTTATCTTGGAACCACTTTGTTTGACCTCCACCTCCGCCCTAATATATTGGCCGAAATGTCATTATTTAGGCCGAGGTGTTCATCACCAAGGCCGAGATGTGTATTATCTAGGCGGAGATGTTACCTTTGCTATAGCGATCCCGGTTTTCCTTTTTGTGCTTAACTGTAATCCGGATTCGGTTTCGTAAGGGTGCTGTTGTCTTATCCTCTTTCTATCCCTTACTCTTTGTGTTCGAGCTTTGGGTTGTGTTGGGCAAGTTGGGAATAAGTTGGTTGTGTTTAAAACGTAAAATCTTCGCCCAGTTTTTTTTTGTCTTTCCGCTCGAGCAGTGCTTTTGACGCTCGAGCGGGACTCTGTTGTTGCTTGTCCGCTCGAGCGGGGTGTTGGCGCTCGAGCGGGGAAATCACCCATCCAGTATTTCGTCTGCAGCGGTAGACGCTCGAGCGGGAGTTTGTGTCTGACGCTCGAGCGGGAACCTTGTCTGTAAAAGTTCTGGGAACGTGCATCTGCCGCTCGAGCGGGGAATTGGACGCTCGAGCGGGGATCTGTGAGTGACGCTCGAGCGGGGAGTTTGGCGCTCGAGCGGGACGACTTTTATATAAAGCCGAGATCCGACCTTTTTGTTCACTTTTCAACATCCTTTCTCTCTCCTACTTTTCCAAAAAACTATTTTGAGAGTTCCTCACACTAAAACCTAACTTCTCTCTTAGGATTGATCTAGTAGGAGTTGTTTTCTCACCTTGGGCCTTTACAAAAGTTGTGTTGATCGTCGAGGGCTATCTTTTAATCTGAAAATTTCGGGATTTGGAGCATTTCCGTTTCTTCACCTCCTTCGTTGGGTCCCATTATTTGAGGTAGAGATAACCTACTCCATCTTATGAACTTTGTCTTTGAATTTTAGCATTTTGATATGTTGAGGGTTGTTGGGTAATTTTGAGAAAGTTTGGGCCTTTGTAAAATTTTACAAAAAGTTGGGGTTTTAGATATATAAACCTATATGCATGTTAGGCATAGAGAAATGATATTAATGTTGGGACATTGATGGAAATGGAACCTTAGGGTTGTTTTGTGAATTATGGTAATTTGTCCTAATTGGTTTAATTAATTAATGCATATAATTAATTGAAGAAAACGAGGAGTTGAATTGAGAATGTTGAAATTGGGAATGTATGAGACTAAAGGGTGTAGTTAGATCATTCATTGCTCACCTAATTGAAATGTTGATATATTATCTGCTTGTGCATTTATTTCCTGCTTAGAAATAATTGCTTTGGGCCACCGGTGGAGGGTAGTGTTGATTGTTGTAGACAATGCATGATGATTAGGCAAACTAAAACTAACCAAT